GCCTGGCTTCTGCGCCGTGATCTCGAAAGGGACGTCCGCGTTATCGCGGTTGATGTAGTTGTTGACCCGGAAGACGAACGCCCCGGCTTGGTTGAGGGATATGTTTTCGGCCGGGTTGCGCTCGACGGCGCTGGCGTTCGCTTCGAAATTGAGCTGGCAGTCACCGACGCGCTTGCTGCCGTAGTAGAGTTCCTTGCCGCCGACCTTGGTTTGCAGGTCGAGGTCGGACTGGTGCGACTGCCCGTCGGCGCCCCGCATTAGGGTCACGGTACACAGCGACGTTGCGTACTTGACCCTTAAGAGTGCAGCGACGCGGCTGACCTGGCACGTCTCGGGGTTGCTCCTGTCGTCCATCATCGCGCGCCGGGCCGACGCGGTGCGCGCCCCATCCATGGAGTCGACGAAGTTGCCCGCCTGCTGCGCGTCGACGTGGACGGAGCCTTGGGCGCGACCGGTCAGCATGGCGAAGGCCATGACCTCGCACTTCTCGTGGGCAGCCACCTCGCCCCAGCGTCTTCCCCCAGCCTTGGCCACGAAATTGACCGCCCAATCCGCGACCGACCTCCATTGGTCCGGACGGACCAGATGCGGGATCTCCCTCTGGATCACCTGGAGAGATCTCGGGTCGTCCACCAGCCTTCGAAACCGATTGTCGAAGGAGCCGTTGAGGTACACCAACAGGCTCTGCAGCCTGGACGCGACATCGGCGGGAGTCTGCTCCTCGCACGTGAAGTGCAGATGGCTGAAGGGGCCCACTGCGATTGGGCACATGTCCATGAACTCGGCGTCGACCGCGACCATGTTGTAGTCGGACACGCTCTGGCTCAGGGCCATGCGGCTCCACGCGCGGCGGACGTCGTCCAACGCTGGATCGCTGACGTCCTGTCAGAAGGCCGCGTGCTTCCATCCGGAGCCAACGGGCCTGGCAAACTTATCGAAGCGGTGGACGCACGTCCAGCAGTTGCCCGTCATGATGGCCGCGCACTCGGAGGCCACCTTTCCGAAGACAGCCTTCGGCTCCAGGCAGAACAACAACCGCCAGCCGCCGACGTCGACCGCGCACGGCCGCAGCACGTTGGCCTCGACGTGGTCGTAGACGTCGGAAGTGGGGGCCTTCAGAGGCCCTGCGATCTCCCAGTCCTGGACGCAAAAACGTCTGGTGGCGAACGCCTGCCCTGCGAGGGGACAGCAGCGCGGATATGATAGCTTCGGCGACGCTCTCGGGTGCGCTTGAACCAAACTGGTGGCGGATACGTGGTGCAATCTATGTGAAGCAGTCGATGTGGACAACCTACGCGATGCAATTTAAGTGGAAACTGAAACTGAAACTGGGCGTCAAGCTGCCTGAATACTGAAATGCTACACAACGCGCTGCTAGCTCACAAATGACTGACAAGCAAAGGCTGGAACGCCTCGTTCGCGTTCGTCACCTCGAAACGAACACCATGGGTGGCAAAATGTCTCGGCGTGCGAGCTCTGTACCGTCGGGGCCACCTCGTCTGCACCATCCCACGGCAAGCGCGGGCGTCCGTCTGGCCGGCAAAACGCGATGCCCCTGCGGGCCGGCTGGTGCCTGACGGGAGCAGAGACACCCGGCGTTGCATGAACCACTGCCTGTACCAGTGCCTGCGCAACTTGGCCGCCCAGCTCAGGCCATTCCCTGGCCGGTCTAGATGCCTTTGCCAATCAAGCACCCTTCGGAACCATTTGCCAATGAAGCCAGACCCCTTGCTTGTTGCACTCGGCGGCGGCGGCGGCGCAATTTGCAAGGTGCAAAATGCGCTGTGCAATCTAAGGTGTGCAATATTGGTTGTTACAAACGAGTTGACACATTCCATGGTCTTACAAACATCTCACCCACCCACCCGCAACGTGGTTTGCAAAACCCATGCGGCGGCGATTGCGATGAGTGCGCGGCGTTGGCCGGTGCATCTCTGCGGCCGCGCCGACCCAGCCACGCGCGCGCAGCGGCCATTTGTTCGGCGCGACCGACGCGGCCGCGGCGGCGCTGACCGCTGGGCACATCCCAGCGGGCACATCCCAGCGGGCACTTCAGTACGATTCGGCGACTTGGGCGGGCGCGGTATCATGGCAATGTCGACAACGGTAGACGCGATGATGATGGTAGCGATGCTGGTGACGACGTTGGCAATGACGACGGCGCGGCCAGCGACGGCGCAGATGCTGATCCCGCCGACGACGATGACAGCGCCCTCGCGTCGGTGAACAGGGTTTTGGAAAGAGTTCGACACGCGCGCGCGGCCGACGCGCAAGAGTGGCCCGCATAATAGCATTTGGCACGGATCGCGCCCCCCAGCACGCGCGCCAGGGCGCGCGAATGATTTCGGTATGCGGCGCCAGAAGCCCGCGTGGCAGTTGTCCGTGACAGTGCTGAAAACCCGATGGTTTTCTTAAGAATTGGCAAGAGCGCGAGCGCACGATTCTTTGAGAACTGATGTTGCGAAACCATATGTGTTTATACATTTGGGACGCTCGATTTTGACATCCTCGCGAACCCGAAGGTCTTCTAACGGATTTCGGCACGCGCGCGACGGCGCGCACGCGAGCACTTCATTCTTTTCAGCAAAAGAATCGCGATAACATAGGCGCAAGGGCGCTCGAGAGATTTCGGAAAACGCGTTTCACGGGCGCTTGCCTTGGGCACATTCGGCGGCGCGTTTCGAAACGGGGGGGAGGGGGCCAATCTTTTCTCCTTCGACTTGCAGGAGGGGGGGGTCGAACCCCGCCACGCCCTCGTCCCGGCGCTGGCGCCTGCGCTGGCGGCGGCCGGCAGCGCCGACGACAAAACGCAGCGACGATGACCAAAGAGAGCCCAGAGACCGTAGCAGGAAAATACACATCACCACATCGAGCCCCCACCGGGGGCCATTGGGAAGTTCCTGGGGGCGCCCAAGAGGCGACGAGGAACCGTCGCGCGTGCTCCTCAGACGCCCCCGAAGGCCACGCCACCACCACCAACCCCACCACCATCACAAACCACCGCACTACCACCACCACCGCCACCACCACCACCAGCACAACCACAACCACCACCACAAACCACTACACCACCACTGCCACAACCACCACCACAACCGCCACCACCACCACAACAACCCCACCACCACCCAGACCACCACACCACCACAACCACCACCTCCACCACCACCACAACCTGCCACCACCACCACCACCAACCGCCACCACGACCACCACCACAACAAACCACCACACAAGCACCACCACCACCGCCACCACCTCCACCACCGCAAACCACCACCACCACCACCACGAACCACCAGACCACCGCCACCACCACCACCATCACCACCACGACCACCACCACCTTCACCACCACCAACCACCACGACCGCCACCGTCGCCAAAACCACCACCACCACCACCACCACCAACTACCAGACCACCACCACCACCACCACAACAGCCCACCTCGCGCCACAACCACTACCACCACCACAACCACAACGATAAACCACCACACCACCACCGCCACCAACCCCCACCAGCACAACCCACCACCACGACTACCACCACCCCAACCAAAACACCACACCACCGCCGCCACCACCACCACCGCCACCACAACCACCACAGCAACCACCACCACCACGTCCACCACCACCGCCACCACCACCACCACCACAACCCACCACCACCACCTCAGAAGGGGCCCCAAGAGACGCTGGCGCCGCCGCCGCCAGCCGCCGCCGATGCCAGCGCCAGCCTGAGAGAGGGAGAGCAGGAGAGGGAGGGGGTTCGAACCCCCCCTCCCCCTTCAATCCACGAGGGGATCCGATTCCAATATCCCCCACACTCTCCAAGCGCCCGCAAAACGCGCTCTTTAGACGATTTTGGCATGCGCGCGCGATGCCCCTTTGGTAGCATGTTCTGAACATGTTGAAAGCCCCTGGTTTTCTTGCGGCTTCGCGAGAACGCGAACGCAAGTTTTGCTTGAAACTCTGCGTTGCGAAACCGTGGGCATGTTATATGTTTTGTGGATGCTCGTTTTTGAAATACCCTCACGAAACCAATGGCTTTTGAAGGATTTCGGCATGCACGCGCAACGCGCGCGCGCGCACTTCGCCAAATTGTTGGAAAGGATTCTTGGAAACTGCTGATTGTTGATAAACGAGCGCGCGCGCATGGTATTTTGGCATTTGTTGCAGAAAATGGCGGGGGGGGGCGGATACGGACTCGGACTCGGCTGGGATGGTACGAATTCAAATTTAGGATGGACGATGGGGCAGAATCGCATGTACCCTGCACATCCCCATGGGGGTCGATTAGTCCGACCTCGGACGGTGGTGAAACCGATTCTCTTTCAGAAAGGAGAAGCTAGGATACCCCATGCTCATGCTCCCGTCAACATCATCATGCCACCCACCCACAACTTGGTTTGCAAAACCTATGCGGCGGCGATTGCGATGAGAGCTTGGGGTTGGCTGGTGCATCTCTGCGGCCGCGCCGACCCAAGCAGGCGCGCGGAGCGGCCATCTAGTTTGGCGCGAACGACGCGGCCGCGGCGGCACTGACCGCTGGGCACATCCCAGCGGGCAACCCAGTGCGATTCAGCGACTTGGGCGGGCGCGATATCATGGCAACGTCGACAACGGTAGACAAGATGATGGCAGTAGCGATGCTAGTGGCGATGTTGACAACGATGGCGGCGCGGCCAATGCGGGCGCCGATGCAGGTCGCGCCGGCGACGATGACGGCGCCCTCGCGTCGGCGATGAAGGTTTTGGAAAGAGTTCGACATGCGAGCGCGGCCGACGCGCGAGAGCGGCCCGCGCGATATTATCCGACGCGGATCGCGCCCCCCCCCCCCCCCCAGCACGCGCGCAAGGGTGCGCGAATGATTCGGCATGCGGCGCCAGAGGCACGTTTGGCAGCTGCCCATGACAATGTTGAGACACATATGGCTTTCTTAAGAATTCGCAAGAGGGCGAGCGCACCCTTTCTAAACAACTGACGTTGCGAAGCCATACGCTGTTGGACACTCTTTTTTGAAATCCTTACGCAGCCGTTGGTTGTTGACGGATTTCGGCAGGCGTGCGCGACGGCGCGCGCGCGTGCACTTCGCCCCAGCTGCTTGCAGGGGGTGCTCGCGACGGCGCGCGCGAAAAGGCGCTCGAACGATTTCGACATGCACGCGCGCGAAGCCCGTTTGGTAGCATTTCGGAGAAAAAGACTATGATTGTGCAAAATTTCACGAGATGCGAGCCAATACTACGTGGACTGATACTGTTTGGCTCCAGGAAAAGAATCCAAGGGGGCTTCGCCATTCCACATGGTAGCAGGGCCTGGTTGTGCCCGCTGCCATGCTCCACATTTTGTGATCAGAGATGGCTTCCGCGGAGGGGGTTTTGAATCGCGCTTTGGCCATGGGGGGCGCTGTGGTCCAGCAGCGCGATCGGGTTGCACGATTGGAGCAACAAGTACGCGAGACCAATGCCCGAGCAGCAGCTGCAGAGACAGGGGCGGCGACACTTGGAGGTCAAAACGACAGGGCCCACCATCGACCTGAGTCCCTGGTCGACAAGAAGCTGCTCGGGAAACCTAACAAGTTCTCAGTTGAGCTTGACGAGAACGCGAAGTACTAGGATGAGGCCACCTGGGAGAACTGGAGTTTTGTCGTGGCGGCTTACTGCATGGCGGTGGACCCGCATGCGGAAGAGCTGATGAGGGACGCAGCGAAGGTGGACGCTGAGGCCTACGCACACGGAGATCTTGACGAAAAGGCCCAGCGCGTGAACACCAACCTCCATCACATCCTGGTGCTGACATGCAAGGGGAAGGCCCAAGGCATCATGA